GCATTCCCACAGAGTACCTCTTCATCAACTGTTCCAATTCGAATTATCGGAATTTATAAGTTGATTTTTGTTTCCTTTTTTTATGCTGTTGCGAGGAAAGTTGGAGAGAAAAATGCTTCGCGTAATCGCGCCTTAAGCAGTGTCATTTGTACAGTAGCTCTTCATCCACTGAAATCCAATTGGAATTATTGGAATTTATAAGTTGATTTTAGTTTTCTTCATATTTTAGATACATCTAAGCTTCTCCCAGCTGGGTGGACCATCCAGGGATGATAGCGATAAAACCTCTACTCATATCGGTGGCAGTTTCATCAGTCTGTTGATGCAGAGTGTAGGTGTGGCGGTCACTGAAGTACAAGACGTCGAATTCAAGTAAGTGCTCGTAAATGAAGCTCAATATCGAAAAAATAGAAAAACCCGCGCGCGTGCTATGCGAAGTTATAAAGCACGCGGGGGTTGGCAGAATACGAGAGAAGTGTTAGGAGAAGCTTGACGCGTAGCGGAGTGCTTCTGGACACTTCTCGAGGTTTCTGCCAATCCTCAAGTGCTTTATGACTGCACACAGCACAGCAAGCAAGTTTTTTTTTWATTTCTTTTATAAAGTAGATATTATAATGACCGTTATTTTAGAGAGGAATGACCTCAGGATTTCCTTTCTCTAAACGCGGTCCAGTATACCCTGGGATAATAGTTTGCTAAAAAAGTAAATAGGTCAACTTACCTTAAAGGCCTCGAAACGTATGTTCAGAAACTGGGGCACAGTTGTTCCCTATTTGAACCTCCTGGCCAATAATTAACCTACGTCTTGTTCATTTTATCGTGTTCCAGACTGGCATACTTCGAGATCAACAATCAAGTTTACAACCAACAGCAATTGATTGATGTGATTCGTAAACATTACACAAGTCAGGTAGGTACAGGGAAAGACCACGATAATATGATGGTGCAGGGTTTGTTCATATCTAAAGAGTTTGTACTTTCTTATTCTAAAGGAGCTTAGAGCAGTTTTCGTATGACTACTAAAAGCTGGCAGCGCGAACATGTCGTGACACGGCAAGGCATATGCCAGACCAATCACATTGCGCAAGTATTTACTTTCCATCCAATCGAAAACCCGAACTATGGCATGACAAGGGCAAGGACACCGTCACGCCGAGGTCGCGTTACTGTCAGACAAATCGCATTGCGCGAGTAAAAAAATCAGGCAATTAAAACTCTAAAAAAAAAACATCACGGTCACGACACTGCATGCTTATTTCACTGGGCTTTTTACAGTTACGCGAAAACAGCTCTAACGCTCCTTGACGATACACGTTAAAATAAGCTACCAGTGTATTGTATCGTAGTATCTAAAGATTATCTAATGGTCCACGCTCACTTAATGTTTGCTGATTTTAGGCCATCAAGCAGATGTATGTTCTAGTGCTTGGTTTAGACGTACTTGGCAATCCATTTGGTCTTATCAGTGGCCTTAAGGACGGTGCAAAAGATCTGTTCTATGAACCATACCAAGTAAGACATCAAGATGATAACGTGAAGCATAGAAAGATGGGACAAATGCAGTTAAATTATTCAATTTATTTATATACTTTTTTGTTTGCTTGTTTGTTTAGGGACTCATCCAAGGACCTGGGGAGTTCGCTGAAGGCTTGGCTTTAGGCGTACGCAGCTTAGTAGGACACACCGTTGGTATGTACAAAACCAACTGCACGCTTACAATTGACTATACTTTCAAAAAATATCCCTTTTACTTTAAGGTTTGGCAGCTCTAGCGCCAGACACAAGTCATTTGCTTTTTCCCCACGGGAAACAGACTACAAAAGCTGTTTTAAACTGGGAGCTGCCTTAGACTGGGATAAAGCTTTGCCAGTGTTACATCATTTGCATATGAATATAATACACTTTAAGTTACTATTCCAACTATAGACCCCTGGAATGGGACGTCAAAGCAGTTCGATCAGGGGGACAAAACAAGAGAATTTCAATCTCATGAGAATTGGAACCTATTGTTTTGTCCCCCAGATTGAGCTGTATTCCAAAGTGCTGCAAGGGGTCTATATATTAACAAGTTTTATTTTATGGACTTTTTAATTTCTTTGTTATTTCCAGGCGGTGCAGCCGGTGCAGTGTCACGCATAACTGGTACATTAGGTAAAGGTATTGCTGCTCTAACTATGGACGACAAATATCAGCTGGAAAGAAGACAAGCAATGGGCAAAAAGCCTGTTAATGTAGGCGAAGGACTTGCAAGAGGAGGAAAAGGTCTTCTAGAGGTATGCACGATTCTCCCATCCTGTCACATACTCACGTCTGAAAGCTTGTCATTTTTCTACTTCTAATATTCTGTTTACTACCCTCGGACTGTGGAACGTTTTATATCCCTACACCAAGAGAATATGAACTAAGAGAAGGAATCCCCGCGCCCCATCATGAGCACTCTTTGTTGCTATTTTTAGAATCATTGATGCTACTTTTAGAACTAATCATTTAATCGTTTGCTTTTTTTTGCACGCGCATAGTGCGCGGACTCTACCATGTTTGTTCATGTTTTTATATATATTTCAAGAAAGCGTGAGCAAACAGCGTAGAATGCGCACATTTTGCGCAAATGTGATTTTAAAAATAGCATCAAACGGTGCTTATAATAATTACAAGCATGAATACCGGAGATTCCTTTTCTTAGTTCATTTTCTCTTGCCCACACTCAATCCTTCCCTTCGTTTATGCTTCATTATTTCTTATCAACATTTTTTCTTTGCTGTTTTTGGAGTCGCAAYATTTGACTTTTTACTGACCTGTTACGTTGAGCCATGATGAAGTGTCTAGGATCTAATTTCTTGGTTTACAATGACGTTTTAATAATAAATGATAATGCTGATGATGGTATGATGATGGTATGATGATTCTGATGACGGTAGTGATTTTATGGCGATAACATTCATTATGATAATCGCGATAAGAATGCCGGTTCATCATGCTTGAGATTGACGATGACCGTGTTGATGATGATGGTGATGATTCTGATTTTGATGATAATAATGGATGGATATGATGATGATGAATAGTGATTCTGATGACCGTGGTGATGATGATAGTGGTGATTCTGATGATGATAATAATGGATGGATATGATGATGATGAATAGTGATTCTGATGACCGTGGTGATGATGATAGTGGTGATTCTGATGATGATAATAATGGATGGATATGATGATAATGAATGGTGATTCTGATGTTATTTTGTTTATTTGACAGGGAGTTTTTGACGGTGTAACAGGAATAGTGACAAAACCTATGGAAGGTAAGTAGAAATGTCGACGAGGGGGAGACTATACTTGAATTGTCGTGTATTTGTTAATGCTTTGCTTATCTAATATTCCCAAATAGGTGCAAAGAAACAAGGTGCTGCTGGTTTTTTCAAGGGAATGGGTAAGGGTCTAGTAGGAGTGGTGGCCAGGCCAGCTGGAGGAATAGTGGACTTTGCTAGCAGCACCCTTGAAGGAATCAAAGGGTGAGTAATGATATTATATAATTTTAGACTTGAATATAGAGTTTTGCACGCTCAGTGATTGGTCAATTATTATTATTATTATTATTATTAATGTTATTATTATTATCATCATCATCATTATTATCATCATCATCATCGAGCTGAATTGCGTTGCCAAATGTCATATTTAGTGGCTGGATATTTTTTTTCATTAGATCAGCGGATAATGCTGCAGAAATCCTGCCTCTAAGACCAGCGAGAGTATTCTATGCAGACAAGGTGGGGTTCATATTTTCTTGTCAGTAGTATTCTTATACAGCTAAAACAATTTAATAAGCACAGGCAGCGTAGCGGTGAGAGCGCTCGCCTCTCAAAGGCTATTCCCGGTCGATTCTCTGACTCGGTGTCATATGAGAGTAGAGTTGCTAGTTGGCCAAATCCACTTGGGCATAATGTTTTGCCCATTTCGGGCCATTTGTCATTTCCCTTGAGAATAAGATTCTTTGCTTGAGGTGTATCCAAATTCATGTGTCTTCTCATGCGCAACCATTAAACAAAGAAATGATACTCTAGGCAATGACACGTGATCTCAAATGGGAAAACAGTGGATTAGGTCTGTTGCCTCTCCTCTTCATTTCATGGGCTCTGGCTTCGCCAGTTCTTCGTTCCTCCACAACAAAACAACTTCTAAATCCCAATTGGAATCCAGTTGAAAAAGAGCCACTTGTTGGAACCAATGTTAATACACATTTATTTTTATTTTATTTATTCACTTCAATCTCATTTCAGGTCATCAAGCCGTACAATCGATATGAAGCCGAAGGGAATCACATATTGCAGGTACGGTACCTCACCGTTATGAAAGGATAAAACTGAATATACCGTTTTCTCAAGGTTGCGTGCGCATCCAACTTGACGGGCCACAAAAATGAAAAACGTGAATTCAGTAAAATTAAGAAGCCAGTTTTATATTTAAAGATGAGAATATTCATTTTTATGAATTCTTATCGGAAAAAAATCATAGAAATGTATGATAATTCTCGTTAAAAGTCTTGCGACTTGACTATTCGCTAGATGCATTAAGCTACAGCCGTCATAGAACTCAAATATCATGAAACGTAAGCTTTTGATTCTTTCCTCCTGCAGGGAGTCAAAGGGGACAATGCTTCCTTGAAAGATGATCRGTACTTTGCACACAGACAGCTAAACATCAAGAAAGCGTTACTCGTTACGAACAAGTAAGTAGTTATCCATCTGACTAGTGACTTATTAGTCTAGAGAGTTTTTGCGTAACGTCACAGCGGCCATGCTGATGTACCAAAACAATACATTTACTATCCTCCAACAAGTTTCTATTGTTTGGTACACCAATATGGCTGCCTTGTCATGTGAGTAAAAGCGCTCTGTGGGATGACCGACTGATATGGACGGAAAGACAGGACGCATTTCATATATCTTCATAATCTTACCGTGTGGGGGTCTTTGTACTCTTATCTAAGTAAGCTTTGTATGACTGTGAAAACCTTGCGTAAAAGATGCACAGCCATGACCATGGTGTTAAAAAATGTGCGGAGTAAATTTTGTACTGCGAAATGAGTGAAACGACGCATGCCACGGTTACGGTCTCATATTGATAAGTTCCTTTAAGCCAATCGCAGCACTATTACTCATCAGTTCTCCAATAACAATGCTCGGGCTCTGCACTGAGGTCTTGTGGTGTTCCTCTACTCAGTAGTGGGATAGACATTAATTTCGCGCCCTTCCGAAGATTAGTAAAAAAACTTGGTCGAGTTGGCATTGCAGTGCATTGGGAGACTGTATTAGTGTAAATATTTCCAAGATGGCGTCTATTTTGTTCCCTAAAACTTTTACTTTTACTTTTACTTTTACTTTTACTTTTACTTTTACTTTTA